TGCTGCAGCAGCAGCAGCAGCAGCAGCAGCAACAGCTGCAGACAACCTGTTAGTGAAACCTCCATGTTGTTCGTGCTGCGGAGGGTTCAAGCAGCAGCAGCAGCAGCAGCAGCAGCAGCAAGTGCTGCTGCTGTCGGCGCTGCTGGTGTGTGTCAGGGGGTCTAGCAACTGCTGCGGCCTATGGCTAACTGCTGCTGTTGGTTGCTGCTGCTGCTGCTGCTGCAGTTGCTGCTGCAGCAGAGATGCAGCAGCAGCAGCAGCAGCGTTGGTATCACTGAGCAGGAACTTCTCCACTACACCTCTGTCTGTGTAGCTGTTGCTGCTGGTGTTGCTGCTGCTGTTGCTGCTGCTGCTGCTGCTGCTGTTGCTGCTGCTCACGATACACAAAACAAGGTAAATAAGTAAACAAACAATTACAAATAAATAAAATAAAATAATATATTTCTCTGCAGCATTTCACTGGCCGTGGGGCCCCCGATCTGGGGGCCCCTAGTTGACATAGAATCGGCTGGTCTTGCTGCTGCTGCTGCTGCTGCTGCTGCTGCTGCTGCTGCTGTGTTGCTGTTGCTGCTGCTGCTGCCGCTACAGAAGATAAATTTCCATAGTTCTGGTATTTTAACATTTAACAAATTATATTTCATTAGCTTTGCTTCTTTTCTTCGTATTTTGTGCTGTAGCTGCTGCAGCAGCAGCAGCAGCTGCTGCTGCTGCTGCTAGGCATCGGGACAGCTGGGAGAGACCAGCAGCAGCAGCAGCAGCACGAGAGCAGCAGCAGCAGCAGCAGCAGCAGCAGCAGAACAATTTGTAGTTTGTTGATATACTCATTAAGACTCATTGGGAGAGGATAGGGGGCAGCAGCAGTTGTTGCTGCTGCTTCCGAATGAAGGTTGCAGCAGCTGCTGCAGCAGCAAGCAGCAACAGCAGCAGCAGCAGCAGCAGCAGCAATGAAGCGCTGCGTTTCTATCATCGTTGTGTTGCTGCTGCATCTCCGCTGCTCAGCAGCAGCGGATGTTCTCCTTGAACGTGATACCGCTGCTGCTGCTGCTGCTGCTGCTGCTGCTGCTGGACCCCCCGCAGCAGCAGCAGCAGCAGCAGCAGCAGAAGCAGAATACCGTCTTCCTCCTCGTATAATAGCTCGTTTTACACTGGGAGACAATAAGAGATATGAGCTGCCTATACACCTGGGGGCCCCCGGGGGGGCCCCCGGGGGGGCCCCCCCAAAACAGGGTACAGTAAAGGGGGCGATGGGGGGTGTTGCTGCTGGCGTGATGTGTATGGTGCTGATGAGTGTATTAAGAGATATTGTTGCTGCAGCACGAAAGCAGCAGCAGCAGAGAGAAAATAAAAAAGAAGCAAAGAAGTTTGAGGCCCAAAGAGCTGCTGCTCTTGCTGCTATGAGGCGAGCAGCAGAGCTGCTGCTGCAGTACCAGCAGCAGATGCAGCAGCAGCACCAGCAGCAGCAGCAGCAGCAGCAGCAGCAGCAGCACCAGCAGCAGCAGCACCAGCAGCAGCAGCAGCAGC